AGGGAAGAGGGCAGTGTAATACCTGAGCATGAAAGACCAATGAGTTTCAGCTTGACTGGCACTGAATTGGATCCAGGAGAAGAGAGGTGTTCATGGATTTATGAAGACCAGAATTAGAATCTCCAAGGCAGGGGAGGGGATGCCCTAGAAAATGGACAAGTCACTCCCTTTTGGCAGAGTGGGTTTCCCTATCAACAATGGTAAACCAGCTAGCTGTGGGAAGGAAAGCTCTGATTTTATCATTTGCCCAATTTCTGTGGCTTAAAACTTTACCAGATTCATTTACAAAATTACTTAATATTTAACACTTGTCTCTTGTAAAACCATACAAGCCTGCTCCAGCACACTGCTGCAAGCCTCCCTCGAGGTGCTTTGAATTGCTATCATGTGCTTAGGTCTATGCTGTGCGAAATAGGAGATGCTGAAGCAGTGTTTGTTCTAAGGATGTTATTTTACAGACAGGTGAGGAGCTGGAAAAATTGACAGTATAGTTGTGGTGTGGATTGAGTATAGTAGTCCAGAGTGAGAAATTATTGAGTGATGGAGATATTGTGAAAAAGAGCATATGAGAGCTAGGCTTGAAGAATGATGATAATAGCTAACACTAATTGGTAATAATAGTTCTAGACTGTGCTAAGCACCTAGCATACATTATACGAATCTTCCAAAAAAAGATAATATCCCCCAGTTTTGAGGAACCTAAGGCTTAGTATTTTGCCTAAATTACATAGGTAGGACATTGTTTTGGTGGGTGTGTAGTAATATCTCATTGTGGCTAGGGAGAGACAAAAGGCCAGTATTTGGAGCCTGGTCACTTCACCACAGGACCCATACTCTCGCCCACTACATCACGTTGCTGTTGGATATAAGAAGGAAACTTCTTCAGGAGAGGAGGGTATGACTATAGTCCAAAGTTCTAGACGAGATAGGAGTCAGAATATTTGAGTTTTGGTCCTCATTTTGTTTAGCCATGTATGTGGCCTTAGCTAAATCACATTTTATCTCTCTGACTTGAATTGAGGGACTTGGATTTAAAGGATCACTCGGTTCCTTTTTATTTCTAACAATGGAGAAGAGCAGAGGAAAGCAACCTACAAGGGAGAGCAGAAGAGAACAAAGCTTCAAGTGTTAGAAAGCAAAGGCAGAAAAGATTGGTGCTATATACTTGGTTATTTCTGTTTGCAATTCCTGACTAGCACCAAATGGAAAGGTTGGGAGTGTTGAGAGCACATAGAAATAAGCTAGTCTTCTGTGTTGAGTGTTCCTAAAAAGCTCATTTCTCCCCTGATGGCTTCAGCAGCAGGCCAGGACTAGATTTGGGTCATTTCGAAGATCCTTGGATTATCATTCCTTTCCTAGCAGTAATTCAACAAATATTTACAAAGCACCTGCTATGTGTGAGTCACTAGAATGGGAGCAAGACATTGGAGCAAGACTGGTCCCTTCTCTTGTTGAATTTATAGTCTACTAGAGGTAATAGATAAACAAGTTGCACATTTTGATAGGTTTATGAGAAGCTGAGTTTTGTTGGTTTGGAGTCAGAGAAGGTCTGTGACTTTGTTGAACTGAGAATGGAAATGAAGAGACCAGTTAGGAGACTTAAAGGCATCCAGGCAAGATATGCTGGTTCAGAAGAGAGCGCGCACACACCTGGCAAATATTAGCCAGACCTCTCTTACAGAAATAAGTGAGAAAATTTCTGATACTTTTATTGACTCACTTAAATGTGGTATTTAATATGGTTTTGTAAAATTGGAGTAAAAGCCCCCATGAGATTAATTATGATGGCACTAGGTGAAAAGTAAATGAGTCTGGCTTAAGGATGTAGCTGTTCAAAAGATACAGGACAGAAGAGCGACATGAACTAGGAATTTTAGTTCTGTAAGATTTCTAAACAGAGGTAGGCTTGGAAATAAATTCTAAAGGAGATCAACAGGATTTGGGAGAGATTAATAATCCCAGGCATTAGATAATTTAAAGGGACTATGACTCAAAGGATAGAAAAGTACATATTGTAAAGATTTGCTTATAAAGAATTGCTAATTCCAATGAGAAGCAAAGCAAGGAGATTGGGAATAAAACTGGTAGCACAGGAAGTTCTGGTCTCTTAGAAATGGAATCCAGTCCCATATGCACATGTAGGCCCACAACATTCTGGTTGGGGTTTTAGTCTGGTCCAAGAAGAAACTGAGAAAGGATAGAACAGGACCAATCGTGGGGAAAGAGGGTAGACATGGTAATAGACTAGGAAAGAATGCTCTTGTCTACCAGAAATTGAGGCCTAGCACCAGAAGAAGCACCTGGCCCACTGCCCGTATGTCTTCCCCAGATCAAAAGCCTCTCTGTCTGGGATCTTCTGAGAAGTCAGAGTGAGGGAAAAGGCAGCAGCTCCCGTTGTTGCCTGTAACCTCACCACCACAGATAATTACTGGTAATACTTTTGTAGTTCTCAACAAAGTGTCAAGGATAAACCCAGAGTTCTCCACTTTGAGTCCTCCACTTAAATTTTTCCCCAGCATTTTATTGTGAAAACTTTGTACAGAAAAGTTGAAAAAATTATACAGGAAATAGATTCTACAATTTAAATGCTTCTATATTTGTTTTACCACATAACCATCCATTTTATTTTTTTGGTGCATTTCAAGAAATTGCAAACATCACACTTCACCCATAAATATTTCAACATGTCTTGCGTTCATTATTTTGTACAGGCTTGTTGGGCAGGGGGAGGTGGTAACATTTACATACAATAAGATGTATACACCTTAAGTGTACTGTTAGATGAAAATGAAAAATGCATTCATGACTCACATTCCTATCAAGATAAGGAACTTTTCCATTCCCCCTAGAGTTATCTCCTGTTGCTTCTCAGTTGATACCTGCCCCTCCCCTGGGGGACATGGGAGGAACAACCAGTATTCTGAATTTTTTTCACTGTAGATTAGTTTTGCCTGTCTTAAAACTTTGTAAGTGGAATCTGTGTATTTTATGCTTCAGATTCATCCATGTTGCAGATATTAATAGTTTGTTTCTTTTTGTTACCAAGCAGTTTTCTAATACATGTATAAACATGATGGTTTATTCATTCTCATATTGATGGACACTTGAGCTGTTTCAAATTTTTGGCTATTATGAATAAAGCTGCTATGAACATTCTTGTACAAATCTTTTTGTGGACATAATGTTTTCTTTTGGATAAAAATCTAGGAGTGGAATTGCTCTTGGACTAGATGTGTGTTTGGTTTTCTAATAAGCTGCCAGACAGTTTCCAAAGTGGTATATTTAATGCTTTCACTAACAATGTATGAGATTTCCATGCCCTTGCCAATATTTGGCATTGTCAGTTTTTTTACTTTTAGCCATTGTGGTGGGTGTGTGATAGTATCTTGTGGTTTTAATTTGCATTTCCCTGATGACTAGTGCTATTGATCACTCTTCCTTTGTGTATTTCCAATTCATCTATTTTCTTTTATGAAGTATCTGATCAAAATTTTTTTGCCCATTTTAAATTTGTCACTTAATATTGAGTTCCAGGAGTCCTGAATTTAAATTTTAAAGCTCAGTTGTATAAGATAAGGATAGAGAAGACTTACTGCTGGGACAGTATTTCAAATGGAAAAGGCCTCAAAGTTTGAGTTGAGCAAAAGCAAATGTTACCATTTATTCAGCAAATGGTTATGACTACTAACTACATACTAAGCACTGATACTAGGGATACAGAAATAATACCCAGCCCTAGTTCCAAGGAGCCCATAGATTATGAGGGTAGACAGACAAAAGTCAAAATTTTGATATGGCAGTTTCAATGTTATATCACTAATATTTAATTTACTGAGTACCTGCTATTGGGTAGGTACTGTTATAGATACTGGACATAGAGAGATTAGGCAAACCAGACATGGTTCCTACTCTAATACAGCTTATTTTCTCGGGTGTCTATGGATGAAGACAGTGCAGAAGCTCTGATACAGGGAATGAGATTGATGTTGTGTGTATGTGGGTCAGAAATGAAACCTGGCTGGAACATACTTGTGTGACTAGGTGATTAGTTAAGTGTCAGGTCTTTCAGGGAAGGCCTTGTAGACCACAGTAAGAACTTTGGACTTTTGAGTGTTTGGGGATGCCATCCCAGAGTTTTAAACAGAGAAATGGTATGGTCTAGTTTCTGTTTGGCTAATAAACACAGAAGTGTGTCTGTGTGTGTTTGAAGGAAGATGATGAGGAAACCATGTAATCATCTAAAGGAGAAACAATAAATTTTACTTGGGGATTGTGGGTGAGGCTTCATAACGCAATAATATAGCAGAACTTTGGATGACAAGGCATTTGTTAGACAGGAAAGTCAGAGGTATCAGCGTGTGTATGTTCCAGGAACCAGAAATAGCTTTGGATGACTAGTTGGTTGGGTGGTGGAATAGCAGGAGATAGAGCAGACTGGGAAGGGCTTTGAAGGCTGAGTTAGGGATGCAGGGTCACCATATTACACAACGACTGAATTCTGTGCAGATGTACTCTGGAGTTGTGCCACAAGGTGGCCTTGCTGGGGAGTTTGGCTCTGAACCTAAGGGCCATGGGCATCTGTGCAGGACTTCTAGTTAAGGTAGAAACTCTGGAAGCTGACACAAGGAAGACTAGCTGAGGCATTGTTAAGGAGGAGAAGCCAGTGAGGAGGCAAGAGACATTGAGCCCTGAAGTTAGATAGGGGTTGTTAAACCAGAGGGCTTTGAATAGTCAAGAGGACTTGAGTTGTGGATTGGGGAAAAAAGCTAATGAAGTCCTTTAAAAAACACAAAATAAACTATAAAATATTGAAATAATACAGAAGTATATAGAGATTATAAAATCCTCACCTTCATTCCCCTTCCCTGAGGTGTACCTCTGAGTTGCAATTTTTGGTGTGCCTTCCATTTTTCTGTATATTTATTTTGTGTACCTATTCAAATCTATTGTATATACACATACAGTTGAAGTTTAAAATGGAGTCATACTTTTCTTACCATTTTTTGTGACTTTATTTTTTCATATAATACCAATATAATATAGTTCTGCCTTGTATTTTACCTGCTGCTCAGCATTCCATTGTTTTAATGTACCATAATTTACTTAGTACCCAATAGATAGACCTTTAAGTGTTCTCAGGTGTTTTACTGGTTTCAGCAATAATGAAATGAACATTCTTCGTTTGTTTCTGTTCTGTGCAAACACTGCCTCAGAGAACATGTGAAGTGAGAAGCATGGAGTCAGATTGTGACTCGGGGAAGTTGTGGTCCCACTCCTTTGGGAGTATGTGTTTTTCTCTGGATCTGTTCGTAGGGAACTTCCAAAGGGGGGATGGTCAGGCAGGTCAGAGTCTACAAGCCACATTCTAGGGGCAACATTGAAAAGAACTGGGGCTCTTTTTCCAGATTTTAGCTGGGGATTTCACTGCTTCCAAGTATCAGATGGGTTCTCAGAGGGAGATGGAATAAGGCTTTCCTTGTGGAAGATTAGACTGGGGAGAAATAGGACAAATGTGTAGAAATGAGAATTCCAACAGACTTGAGTTGGTTTGGGTAGGACTTTATGGAGCAGGACTATCTAAATGGATTAGAAGAGTGGTGGATTTTCCATCATTGGATGCTTTCAAGCAGAGACTGAGGTGCTAAGAACAGGCAGTATGTGAAGCAAGCCAAAGTGTAAGAGTCATTCCAATGTTGGTTGATAATAGCACTCCAGATGGAGACCATGAGGCGCCAAGATGGGAACAGCACTAACTGTGGGCTAGGTTGGGGGAAGGATTGACTGAGGGTCAGTTTAGGGGAGGCTAAGGCTGGAGGCATCCTGGGGTATAGCGCTGGGAAACCTGGAGTGCTGAGTGAAGCTGGGTGAGAGATCTGACGTCATCTGCACTTTTGGTACAGACAGTCTGCAGGTGTATGGGTCAGCGGGACGCAGGGATAGTAAGGAGTCTGAGGGTAATTGTTATGGGGACTGTAGGAGGAGGGTTTACATGGGAGTTATGGTGATCCATGCAAGAAGATAGTGTTTCAGCCGAGGAGATGAGTAAATTGGAAAAGTTGGTGCTCCTTGATTGCCAGTTTGGAGATGGCTGGGCTAGGAGCTGAGGCTGCAGATGGCCTTTTGGATTTCATTCAGCAAATATTATCTAGGTGCTTGGGATAGAGCAATAAACAGAACAGACAAATATCCCTTCCCTCACGTTTACATTCCTTCAGTTTACATTCTAGTGGGGAAGAGAGGTTATATATTAGACAATCAATGATAAATGCTAAAAAGAAAAAGCAGGAAACGGGTATGTGATGCTCAGTAGTAGTAAGGTTGAAATGTTAAGTACCTAGAAAAGGAGAGCCTTTTCTTCATAATAAGAAGATGAATTTGAATAAAGACTTAGAAGGAGTGAGGAAACAGCAAGCCATGTGGATAATATGAGGGAAGAAACAAGCTTCTTTGAGGAATGGCAGGCAAACAGACCTGTGTGTTCAGAATGGAGTGAGCAAGAGAGGTGTTAGGAAATCAGATTAGAGAGATCTAGATCTTTCAAAATCTTGGAGACCATGGTAGAATTTGCATTTTTTCTAAGTAATGGGAAATCATTATAGGGTTTGGGCAGATGTGTAGCATACCCTGACCTACGTTTTAACAGGATCACCCTGGTTGCTGTATTGGGAATAGTCTGTTGGTGTGAGGATGGAGGTGGAGGTGGGGATGGCGTAGGATAAGGGAGACCAGTTAAAGAGGCTAATGCGATAAGCCCGGTGGCTTGGACTGGATAGTGGCAGTGAGACTAGTGAGTTGGCCATGAGTAGCTGATTACCCACTAGGAGAATCAGTTGGGATCCTAACACTACCTCAAGATGCAGGGTCTGAGAGTTAGTGAGAAATCATTGGAGGAAGAAACTTTTTTGGGGAGTTGGATCTGGATCATGGTCATGTTGGGATTAGAATTTTGATTAGGGTCTGATCTGGGGCCAGTAAAGGGTCAGAGTGAGATTCATTGGTCTCAGAAGATCAGGGTTGGATTCTGGGTCTTAGGAACATTATAGGGATTTTTGGGGTGAGGACCAGTTTGGGCTCAAAGTTGTTGATGAAGGCCAATATACTTTTTCTGCATCTTCCCATCATATCAGGGTTGGTTGTACTCACCATGTCCTGTCCCACTGAGCTCACCTGAGGGGATTAGAGGAATATGGAGGCTCTAAGGCCTTCTCTTCCTTCGGTGTCATGGAGCTGGATACAGGCTCAGCCCTGCCTGGGGGAAGCCTGCTGGCCTTCCCAAGCTGGGACATATAGTCAGGGAAGGGTAGAGAAGGGTCCTCAATGCTTGACTCAGGTCCTTTCTTTCCCAGATGGCCCACTGTGTGACCTTGGTTCAGCTATCCATTTCCTGTGACCACCTCATTGACAAGGACATCGGCTCCAAGTCTGACCCACTCTGCGTCCTTTTACAGGATGTGGGAGGGGGCAGCTGGGCTGAGGTGAGAAGGGCCTTGGGGGTTAAAGTTGTGGAGGACGGTTAGAACAGTGCTGAGGGTAGAGGGTGTGTGACTGTGATGGTACTGGCCTCTGCCCACAGCTTGGCCGAACTGAGCAAGTACGGAACTGCTCGAGCCCCGAGTTCTCCAAGACCCTGCAGCTTGAGTACCACTTTGAAACAGTCCAGAAGCTCCGATTTGGCATTTATGACATAGACAACAAGACACCTGAGCTGGGGGATGACGACTTCCTAGGAGGGGCTGAGTGTTCCCTAGGACAGGTATGTAGGGCTAGGGATTAAAATACTTTAGACATATGTTCAGTAAGAGCCCTAACAGCCCAGACTGTCTGGAATGTGGAGGTGGGGGCCAAGCAAGACATAACCCTGCCTGAGATTTTGCTCCCCCACCCACCCCTGCTTTGCCCCAGATTGTGTCCAGCCATATAATAACTCTACCCTTGATGCTGAAGCCTGGAAAACCTGCTGGGCGGGGGACCATCACGGTAAGGAAGAACTCTGTGGGGGAGGAGGGTTACATCAATGAGGAATTCATGAGGGGATACAGTCTCCTGCCTCCCCTTCCTAGGTATCTGCTCAAGAGATGAAGGATAATCGTATAGTGACCATGGAGGTGGAGGCCAGAAACCTAGATAAGAAGGTGTGTCTGGAAGGAAGTCCTGGGGGTTTAAGAATTAAGGGGCAGGAATGGTGTTCCTGGGGGTTTAGAACTAAGGGGGGGGGTGGGGCTGGGGACTGGCAAAATGGTTATCTCTCCCTGAGTCTTACACTGGGGTCTCTGTGGCATTGACAGGACTTCCTGGGGAAATCGGACCCGTTCTTGGAGTTCTTCTGTCAGGGTGATGGGAAATGGCACCTGGCATACAGATCTGAGGTGTGAGACCCCTGGGATTGGGTGGAGTGGGGTAGGAGAGACTCTCCTGGGGCTTGTGATTACCAAGGTTTGGAACAGGGAGAAAGAGACTGCATATGGATAGAGAAGGATGACAGCTCCCCATATGCCAGCCCAGAGCTTACTAGAGGCCTTGCTCTCCACCTTCAGGTAATCAAGAACAACTTGAACCCTACATGGAAGCGCTTCTCTGTTCCCCTTCAGCATTTCTGTGGGGGAGACCCCAGCATACCCATCCAGGTGAGGAGTTTGCCTCCTGACTGGACATGGGGAGGGATTTATTCTCACCTGCCCCCTACCCCTGCTCTCTGTATACACATACACACCTTCCCCCACTCCCCCCACACACACAGGTGCGATGCTCAGACTATGACAGTGATGGTTCACATGATCTCATTGGTACCTTCTACACCAGCTTGGCCCAGCTGCAAGCAGTTCCGGTGAGTGCCAGCCCTGCTCAGGGGTATTAAGGTGGGCCTAAAGGACTGCAGCCCCAGGGGGAGAGGGAGGGCAGGCCAGTTCCAGCTGATGCTCTGGGAGTTTCCTACCCTAATTTTTCTTTCCTCACCAGGCTGAGTTTGAATGTATCCACCCTGAGAAACAGCAGAAAAAGAAAAGCTACAAGAACTCTGGGACTGTTTGTGTCAAGATTTGCCAGGTGAGGCAATAGCCCATGTGACCCAGGCTCTGACCCCTGTGCTCCATGGCCCCAACCCCTTCACCCCAGCCATGATCCTGGTTTCATCTGCAGGTAGAAACACAGTATTCATTCCTGGACTATGTGATGGGAGGCTGTCAGATCAACTTCACTGTAAGTTGCTTTATCAGGGATAAGAGAACAGATCTGGGTCTCAGAGTGGTCTTCAGCTCCCCATCTCCCCTCCTAGGTAGGCATTGACTTCACGGGCTCCAATGGAGATCCTTCCTCCCCGGACTCCCTGCACTACCTGAGCCCAACAGGGGTCAACGAGTACCTGACAGCACTGTGGAGTGTGGGCAGTGTGATTCAGGACTATGACTCGTGAGTAACTTTTCTCTTGCCCATCCCCCTCCCTGCAGATGCTTAAGCCTCTGGGCTCACAGTCCCCTCCTGTCTCTTCTCCAACTCACTGTCTTCCCACAGGGACAAGCTATTCCCAGCATTTGGATTTGGGGCCCAGGTACCCCCCGATTGGCAGGTGAGCACTCTTTTTGCCTCCCCAACTCCTATTTTCAGTGTCAGGGTCCTGATTTGGGGGGATGTGGTCGACTTGCTGGGTGGCACCCAACTTTATGTGGAGATGCAGGGATGCATCCCTACAGGCATGTGTATAATAAATGTTCAGGACTACATAGCTCCTATACAATGCTTGGAATATACCATAGTGTCCTTTTTCTTTGCACATAGATGGTCATGGAGAAAGAACCTCATTTTCATTCTTGCCCTCAGGTCTCCCATGAATTTGCCTTGAACTTCAACCCCAGTAACCCCTACTGCCCAGGTAAGTTCCTTCAACCTCCACCGTAAGGCAGATCTGTCCACACCTAGAAGGCCAAGCCTATGCAGACAAGGGAGTGTGGGGGTAATGAGGCAGATACCTGACTCCGTTGTCCAAAGGAGTGGATTTTATTTTATTTTATTTTATTTTATTTTATTTTATTATTTTAATTTTATTTTAAAGGTTTTAATTATTTGACAGAGAGAAAGACAGCCAGAGAGGGAACACAGGCAGGGGGAGTGGGAGAGGGAGAAGCAGGCTTCCCACGGAGCAGGACCCTGGGATCATGACCTGAGCCGAAGGCAGACACTTAACGACTGAGCCACCCAGGCGCCCCCAGAGGAGTGGATTTTAGAGCTAGGTCTCTGGACTCAAATCTAGGTCTCAAATCTTTATCTTGCCTCTTTCTAAAACCATGTGACTTGGGACCAGTGTGCTTTGGCTTCATAAAAACGATAAATACTGTAGGATATTGAATATTTAATATAAACTTTGAAGCAGTAAGCCTGGCACATACTAAGCACTCTCTAAAAAATGGTAGCTGTTATCTTTGCCTGGAAGCTCACTGGTACCGGTCTGGGCATCAGTGGAAGCCTTGGTGCAGCTCTTTTCAGGGTGCTTTTTGCCCAAGCTCTTTTGTTTAGAGATGGCCAAACATCATGATTCCCCAGGACCCCCACGTGGGCAACAAACTAAAGGGGAAAACTTGACCTGATGTGACCTGGGTTTTTGACCTGAGTTCAGACTTAGAGAAAAGTTGTGATAGTAGTTATAGGGGATTTAGGTCATTGGAGCTCAGGGGTCAGGGCCTGGGTCACAGGGGCTATTGTTTACCTTCTTCTCTGTCACTCAGATTCTCCATCTCCCTTCCTCTTCCTCCCTCCACCAACTTTGCACCCTTCATCCCTTAAATATTTCAGTTACTCAGGGGCGCCTGGGTGGCTCAGTCGTTAAGCGTCTGCCTTCGGCTCAGGTCATGATCCCAGGGTCCTGGGATTGAGCCCCGCATATGGTTCCCTGCTCCGCGGGAAGCCTTCTTCTCTCTCTCCCACTCCCCCTGCTTGTGTTCCCTCTCTCATTGTGTCTCTCTGTGTCAAATAAATCTTAAAAAAAAAAAAAAATCCAATTACTCATTAACTAGTACCCTATAGTTTCAGCACCTATTGATGATCTTTGCAATCGGTGATTGTCAAAGATTTTGTAATTCCTCCTACATTTATTAAGAGTTTCCTCTTTCCCATTAATTAATTATCTAGAGATTCTTATTAAATGGATTATAATTCATTATTTTATTAAGTGGGTTATAATCTGATGCTTAACTATCTTAGATTTGTTCAGGGGACCCCCTTAATCAGATTTAACTCAAGTTGTGATTTAGGGCAAGTGCCCTTCTCTTTGTTCTTAGTTCTCCCATCTGTAGGATAAAGTTAAGTACCTTGGGTTATAGGGGTGATTGAATGAAATACACCCAGGTTCCCAAATCTCCTCGGCCAGGGTGGGTTGATGTCAGGATTGGTATTTTACAGTGTTTTTTGCCTTCGTTTGCTAGGCATCCAGGGCATTGTGGATGCTTACCGCCAGGCCCTGCCCCAAGTTCGCCTCTATGGCCCCACCAACTTTGCACCCATCATCAACCATGTGGCCAGGTTGGCAACCCAGGCTGCACATCAGAGGACTGCCTCGGTGAGGATCATGGGAGGTAGTGGTGGTGGTGTGCTGTCTTGGTCAAGGGTTCCCTTCAGGGATATGTAACAAGAGACTTCTTATCAGTATGGGAATGTGTGGCTGGGGTGTTTAGGTCTGCCTCAGTTTGTGAATGGACTTATCCCCAGCAATACTTGGTGCTGTTGCTGCTGACTGACGGCGCTGTGACAGATGTGGAGGCTACACGTGAGGCTGTGGTGCGTGCCTCCTACCTGCCCATGTCAGTGATCATCGTGGGTGTGGGTGGTGCTGACTTCGAGGCCATGGAGCAGCTGGATGCTGATGATGGGCCCCTGCGTGCACGCTCCGGGGAGGCAGCTGCCCGTGACATAGTGCAGTTCGTGCCCTACCGCCGCTTCCAGAATGTGAGTGGGGACAAGCCTGGGGGCAGACCAGAGCTGGGAGTTTATCCCTCCACCTCTCTCGAGTGGGGATACTCACCCTTGCATTGGGGCAGGGTTGGGTGTTGGGGTTTATATCCTTTGTATCCTTTTTTGGGTATGAAATGTAAACTTTGCGAAGCTATTATGGATCACCACTGACCTTGCCCTTTTTCTTCTGGCAGGCCCCTCGGGAGACACTGGCACAGACTGTGCTCGCAGAAATACCCACACAACTGGTCTCCTACTTCAAGGCCCAAGGTTGGGCCCCATTCAAGCCACTTCCACCCCCAGCCAAGAGCCCTGCACAGGCTCCTCAGGCCTAGATTCCCTTAGAGGGTGGGCTATGGCTCGTCCTCAGCCTTGTGTACCCAAGGTCCCTGTGGGCATGGCTCAATCCTGCACACATTGCCCAGTGCTGCACTTTACATTTTATACTTTTATATTTGCTCTTGCTGTTGCTCTTGATCCCTCCTGCTTGCCCCTGGAATCCTTCATTTAATAAAGATCAGTGAAAACCACTGCTTTGCCACCACTCTGTGTTTTTGAGTGGGAGTTTACTATTAGCCATGTTTATTTTCCCTGAGTCTCAGTTTATCCCCCTTAGAGGTTGCTGAGTGAAGGATACCTCTGACATCATAGCCCTAGGCAAAGAAACTGGGTATTCCAGGCCAGAAGCCTAGAGACACTTCTGTAGGATTGAATGTGAGCCAAACACCCAGCCTGCCCTGCCTTAGGACAGGGCTGAGCTGGGAACAGAGACAAGGAGGGAGCAGTGGTGTTTCTGATCCTAAAGATAGGCTACAAGCCTGAATCTTTTTAACAGCTAATTTTTTTCTTACTAGAAAATTAATATGTATTTTCATATAAAAGAAAAAATACAGAAAAAATAATATCCAAACTCCCATGTGCCAAAAAAATATTCGGTGCATATTTTTTAGTCCATCATGCAAAACTATATACATGTTTTTTTATTTTATAAAAATGGGATCATATTATACATACTTTTTTTTTTTTAAAGATTTTATTTATTTATTTGAGGGAGAGAATGAGATAGAGGGAACACAAGAGGGGGGAGTGGGAGAGGGAGAAGCAGGCTTCCCGCAGAGCAGGGAGCCCGACGTGGGGCTCGATCCCAGGACCCCGGGATCATGACCCGAGCCGAAGGCAGAAGCTTAACGACTGAGCCACCCAGGCGCCCCCTATACATACTATTTTAAGATGCTTTAAAATGTATACTAGTTAGTACAAAATTATTTCAAATATAAATACTGTATAACAGAGCAGGTGAGGGTTCCTTTCTTTCCTAGGTCTGACATTTTTTTTTTTCCTAAGGATATTATACATACTCTTTGCACCTTGTTTTTATAATATTTTGGGTGTCTTACCCATTAGAACTTACTGGTGACCTTATTCTTTTTAATGCATATATATTATTCTGTGTATGAGTATCTTATAGCTTATTTAGCCAATCCCTTATTTATTGAGATTTGGGTCCCCTCCAATTTTACAATATTACAAAGTGCTGTAATGAATATCCTTGTACATTTACCACAATATTTCTGAAGGATGTTCCTAGAAGTAGAAATGCTAGGAATATGAATATTTAAACTTTTAATAGATACTGTAAATTGCCCTCCATAACAACAGTCTTTTGTCCCTCTATCTGTTAACATGACAGGCAAAAAATACTTTCATTTTTAGCTTGAATTTATTTAATTTTGAAGGTGAGGTACCATTTCATGTGTTTGTGAGTTATATTTCTCCTGAATAGCCTATTTATAGGTGTTTTTGTTGTTTAAGCCTTTACTCTTATACATGTTGAAAATATTTCCTCCCAAGTTACTGCCTTTTCATTTATAGTATCTTCTGATCCGTAGAACTCTTTTGATATGGAAGTTTATTATGTATAACAATCTAGCTTGCTTTTTAAGAAATTATCCATATATCATTAATTTCCATGATATTAAACATTCCCTTAAATGTTACCATTTCTTTTGGACACATTTTTGTAGCATAAATTATCTTCTTGTATGGGGTGCCTGGGTGGCTCAGTTGGTTAAGCGTCTGCCTTCAGCTCGGGTCATGATCGTGGGGTCCTGGGATTGAGTCCCATGTCAAGCTCCCTGCTCGGTGGGGAGACTGCTTCTCCCTCTTCCTCTACCCCTCCCTCTGCTCGTGTTGTCTCTGTCTCTCTTTCAAATGAAACCTTTTTTAAAAAATTGGTTTATCTTCTTATATACTATTTCCAGTTTTCTCTTTATAAACAACAGTGTGATGAATATCCTTAAAAGTATTATCTTTGATTACATTGATATATCCTTCGGCTCCATTCTTAGAAATGGAATTACTATGATTAAAGAATGTAAAAAATTTTAAGGCTTTTGGTTCCTCTTGTGAAACTGTCCTCCAGAAAAGCTGTATTAGTTCATATTTCTAAACTTAGGCTTTGAGAGCACTCAGTAATTTATTTAGTTAATTTTATTTAATTTTATTTTTTTAATCTTGTATTTATTTATTTGACAGCACAAGCAGGGGGGGCAGCAGGCAGAGGGAGAGGGAGAAGCAGGAGGGAGATCCCAGGATGCTGGGATCATAACCTGAGCTGAAGGCAGACGTTCAACCAACTGAACCACCCACGCACCCCTCAGTAGAGTAAATTACAAAAGTAATATTCTGAAAATTTAAACGAATGGATATGTGCTTCACCCTAACACATACTCATGCATTCCACTTCCTAGAGATGTAACCGCTGTTCATAATCTATATGTATATTCTTCCAATGCATGAACACACTGGGAAGGATCCTAAGAGGCAAGATGGTGCATGTTCCTTTGCTCAAGCTGGTCCCCCTTTTCTGTTCTCTGCCCAGGTAGATAGAACTCCTTAATCTTTTGATGCCTGTCTCCTCCATCTTTTATTCTTCCAATTCTACTTTGATCCTTAGAGTAAAGAATTCTTGGATCAATAAAGAAATTGTTTGCTGGAGCATCGTCCCTCCCGTCAGCCTCCCTGATGGCAGGGACTGATGAACACTACACCACTTGTACTGGGCCTTGCAGTAAAGACAGCTGAGATGGGGCTACCAGGCCTGCATCAACTCTGACTCTGATGCTTCCTAGAGGTTCTCAAGACTCCTTAGTTTTTGAGTGTTTACTTCAAGAAAAGGGGTAGTTAGCTTCTCCACCTGCACCTAGCAGGAGTTGGGGGGACTTTCCCAGAGGGTAGGGGTAGGAAGCGAGGTGCACAAATATGGCTTCAGGTTGACTGGCAGCTCTGAGTTACAGAGGGTGGCCTCTGGAAGAAGGTAGATTTGGGTTCCACTGTGGCACTGTTCCCTTGAGTGTTTTGTGACCTGGGCGGTTTCCCCCTCTGGGGTTATGAGGATTAGTTAGAATGTAATAATGTAGAATGTCCAGCGCACCATCTCTTGCACATGGTAAGTACTCAGTAACATGAGCTGCTATCGTATTGATCTGAACTTCTCCAAATTAAGAGGGTGCATTGGAAAGTAGACCCCCCCCACCATATTTATATACCAAAGGCAACCAGAGCCCTCCCCACCCCACCTCAGCATGGATCCAGCTTCTTTGAACACAGACCTGCACTCTACTTCAACAATCAGCATGTTTAATGGGGTTCCCCTGTGGCACTGTCTCCTGCCCCCTCTGAAGTTCGCATGCCATGGGCTCGGACCCGATACAAGCATGTGAAACGGGGGTGGCCCCAGTTGCTTAGAATCTGGATCTTCACCTTGGGAAAGGCAGTTGGGGGGTCATTCTGGGGAGACAAATGGATCATGCCAAGGACTGCTGTCCCAAGGGCTGCCTTCCTCTCCAGTCTTCCTTTGCTGGCCCGTTCCTTTAGCACCCTAGCCCCCAGAGACACACACCTGTAGGTGGAAAGTCTGAATCTCTGATTTCTCCACATCGAAGGTGAATTTCCCTAAGAAAACTTCAGTCTCATCAAGCTGGAGGCCCTGGTGGGTGAAGAGTGAGTAGAGGGAACAGTGAGGCACAGGTGGGAGAGGGAGAAAACAACTTCATGGAGGACCTACTATGGCAGTAGTTGTATGCACGCTCTCACTTCTCTTTTGGTGTTACGGTAGTGTAGTGTGGGCTGAGGGCTCCAAGGAACCAGGTTGCAGTTTAGTCTGGCCAATTGTTAGCTATGTGACTTTGGCAAATAAGATCCCCTTTCTGAGCATTACTTTCCTCATCAGTGAAGGGGGAGATGATAGCACTTCTTAGGTTGTTGACTGGATGCAAGGAGATGATCCATGTAAAGCAAAGCACAGAATAAGCGCTCAATAAAGCCATACCTAATGTTTGGATATGGTTGTAATTATAACCTATAGGCCTGAGAGGCGAGTGGTAGTATCTCCATTTTATAGATAAGCAAGCGAAGACTCAGATAGTGACACCAATTTTCATGACTGGTACTTTCTAGGCAAAATCCCCCACCTCCTTAGCCTCAGCCCCACTCACGTAGACTGCGAAGTCGCGGGGGGCGCTGTTGGCTCCCCCGGTGTGTGCCACACTGGGTGGTGGGTGCTGCAGGGTGATGTCGCTCAGTTGCACACGACCCGGTAGCCGGATCACCACCTGGCCCTGGTCGCCCTCAAAAGCCCAGCAATTCCCAGGGAACACATCTGGCTGCAGGCGAACAGGTAGACCTTCAGAACCCACCGACAGAGCTACTCGGCCCTTCCCCAGCCTGGGCATTGGTTCAGGTTCCCCCGCCCCCCCTCAGCTCAACCTCTTCGTCGGCCCCGCCCAGTCCTCCACCCGGAGCCCGGGTGTGTGTCCAGCCAGATCCTGTTCGGTGCCCCAGTCCCTAGCACCACCAGGCCCCGCCTCCAGCCGCTCCCATCCTCTGCCAGGCAGGGCCCCGCCTAGCGCCACGCCCTCAGTTCCGCCGGGTCCCACCTCCAGGGAGCTGTGCGGTCCTTTCCCAAGCATCCCGCCCCTGGTCTGGTTCTGGGACCCAGGTTCCAGGCCCACCTCCAGGATAACCGTTGGCGGCCTCGCGTAATTCCAGAAGCTGAAGCGATTCCAGAAGTAGGCAGTGTTCGCATCCTCATAGTCGTGTGATGTCTTTTCTAGGTCGATGGAGGCCCCTGGAGCAGGGAGAAGCCATCATTCAGAGGCTCCCAGGCCTGACAGACAGCTGGGGCAGGGTCTCCGAGGTCGGTCTCTTTGGTCCGGGCATGTGCGTAGGTCTGTGTCAATGTCTCCGCCCCCTTCCGTGTCTCTGAGTCTCAGTCTTGCAGTGTCTCTGGGTCTTACCCACAGAGCTCAGCGCATAGTCGGGTTTCCTCACAAAGTCTTCATTCAACCTCTGGAATACAATCTTGGCCACTCTCTGAAAAGAGGGAGGGCGGGTCCTGGAGGGATGGAACTTGCAGGCAGATTTTTTGGGGGGCAGAGTTCTGGGACTCGGTTCTCTGGGTTGGATTTTGTGGGCCCTGGGAGAAATCCCAAGTCAGGGCTCTGGGGCGGGGTTTACCGCTCGGGACCCATGGAACGCGGCTCCGCAAGGGGCTTCCAAGGTGGACCTTGGACTGAGCAGTGTGCGGAGCCACGGGGCGACACTTTGGACAGACAGGAGACTGCAGGCCTCACCTCGCTGTTGGCTGCGCGAACGCTGGACACCTCCTTGTGTAGTTTATCCAGCTCGGCCTGGAGCTGCTGCAGTTGCTGCCCCTGGGAGCGCACGCGCTCGTGGTACTCGCTGCGGGCGGGAGGTTGGCGCGCGCGGTTGGCTCACTGTCTGCCTGGGCACTTCCCGTAAGGCCCCGCACAGAAGCGCCTTTGAGCCCCCTAATTCCCCACCCCAGTAGCCCTCTTTCACCTTAGAGTCAGCATCTCCTTAGGTTCCTATTGGAGGGAGGGAGGGACAAAATACAGCGCTGCTCAGCTCCCACCCACTCTCTTCTCCCACATCAGCCTGGGAGCAGCTGGACTCAAAGGGCCTTCTTTTTGAGGACTGCCCCCCTCCCTTCCCTGACCTGCCAGGACCTCTCAGAGACCCCCAACCATCTCTGGGCACAGTCCTTCAGAGATCTGTTTATATCCCTTCCTTAGGATTAGAGCCTCCAGCGCTGTCCCCCTCCCACCAGCCAAGGGGACCCCCACAATCTCCAGGGTCATACCCTGCCAACCACCCACCCTGGGATACAGTTGCCCTGACTCACATTCTCCAAAGGAGGGACCAGGTACAGCAGCCCCCACCAGAGTGCTGGAGAAAGAGGAGTGGTCTAAGGGCAAGCCGAGGGAGAGGGTTTCCCTGGCATAAAGGGGTGGTGAGGAGAGAAAAGGCTTGAGGGCGGTGCGTCTGAGGGGACTAGCGGGCTCTGAAGGGGACTGTGAGGAGCTGAACTTGTTGAGTGGGCTGAGGGATATAGAAGAAAATGTGCCGGGTTTGGCTGCAAAACAGCCAGGGCTGGGGCCCCAGGGGATTCTCCACCCCCTCACCTGCCAGAAAGAGGCTCAGCAGTGACACAGCCGTGAGCAGGAAGCGGATGGAACAGACCTCCCTGAAGAATCAGAGGGAGACTGAGGCCCCGGACCCTAATGCATACCGCAGCCCCATGCCGGGCCCTAGACCCAGCATCCGCGGACACGACTCAGCCAGGTCTGATTGAGTCATGCTCAAGCCTCCGCGGGTCCGGCCCTGCTCCCCGCCCCATTCCCTCCCTCTGACCTGTACACAATGACCAGCACGTCTCCTACCAGGGACAGCAACACGCTCAGCACCTGCAACAGCAGGTCTGGGGAGAGGAGAGGAGGCTTAGAGGGAGGGCAGGGATGAAGAAGGGCTCAGAGAGCGTGGGGTTTGAGGTTCAGGAGGGGCTTGGGAAGAGAGGGGTGGTCTAGGAGAATTAGATGGGGGCAAGGAGAATGAGTTCAGGCTCAGAGAAGGTGGATCGGGCTCAGGGAAAGGGCTGGAGACTGGCATGGCATCGGGGCTCAGAACGAGCAGGGTCTCTCAGAAATGAGAACTGGAGTTCAGAGAGGGGAGCCAGAGGGTCAGAGGGGCTCCAGGCTGGCCTGGCCCGTACTCAAGAAGTTCTTGGACACGCGCGGTGGAGGCATCTCCTGCCTCAGATCCAGGGTTGAGAGAAGGTCGAGCTGCTCCTCAGAGACTACGGGAGAGCCAGCCGGTTCTGCGGGAGCCCAAGGGCGCCATTGGGGCCCTGCGCAAGGCAGGTCTACTCTTCCCCCGAGACCGCGCCGCAGGTTCCCCAGCCCAGAAGCGGGGCAGCCTCCACGGGCACTGGTCCCACCGCATCCCCACCCTAGGTCTCTCTCAGCACTCTGAGGTCCCTTGCTAAGTCAAGACGTTGGTCCCCCTGCGGAACGGAGCCCCCGCCCCCAGGCAAGTCTTGGTGCTGCCCTAGTGCTCTGTAGCTATTTATGCTAACACCGAGGCCGCGCCTCCTCAGTGCTGTCCAATCACAGGATTTCCCTGCCCCTTCCCAGGACCGACCAACACCCCGAGGTCCCGCCCCTTAGGGAATCGTATTTGGTGCCTCCCCTCTTCGCCCTATAGGCCCCGCCCCTTAGGGGGTATCCAGATAGACTTAATCCCGATTCCATGCCAGGCCCCGCCCCTGGGCCCCGCCCCCTCCCTCAGTTCTCCCGGGTTCGACCCCGCCCGCACCCGAGGCCCCGCCCCTCACGGTTGCCGCGCCACAGGCGGTCGGCCCATTGTGGCTCCGAGGCGCCGGCTTCTGCCGAGAGCTTCCAGCCCATGTGGTTCCTCCGGGCACTCCTGCGCTCAAGGCGGGCTCACCGCAGCTCGAGCCCCGGGCTCTTCTGCCCTCGGGCTCCCCGGGCCCCGGCCCAGCTGACCGGTGCCCGCTGCTGTCCCCCGAGGTGACGCTCACTGAGCTGTTGCTGTTGTCGCTGTAGAAGTTGGGCGTGTGCTTGTGAGGGGACGTGGCTGAGCCCGGGCGAGGGCTCCGCCGCATCCTGATCCCGGGACGCCCTCTCACGGACGCCAAAGTCGCCGCCGCCGCCGCCGCGGCCCTCGGCTCTCCCTCAGCCGATGTGCGCCGCCGGGACGCCACGGACCCTGCGTGCAGCCGGCGGGCCCCCCGGCCGGATTCAACCCTCTCCCCTGTAGCTGAGCCCGGCTGCTGACGTCATAAAGGAGCCTAGGGTCTCTACGGTACTCCCTGAGGGTGCGTCACAGAGCTAGTCGTGACGTCCCTGGGAGCCATGGCAGTCTCTTATTCTTTCCCATGTTAAAGCAAGCGATGACATCACATCACTTCCTAGAACGCCCTATCTTATGCACTTGTCATAAAAGATTATCCCTCTTCCTGCTTAGTTTTTCTCCTCAGCTCATATCACCAAGATGCTGTATATTTTACTTACATACATATCATATCCATTGCCTGTCACACCCACCAGAACGTAAACTTTATGAAGGCAGGGATTTTTGTCTTGTTCACTAGTGTATCCTCCAGGACCTAGTGGGGGGCCTCCTTCTCCCTCTCCCTCTGCCTGCTGCTCCCCCTGCTTGTGTGTGCGCTCTCTCTCTCTCTGTCAAATGAATAAATAAAATCTTTAAAAAAAAAAAAAGAAGGAAGAAGAAGAAGAAGAAGAAGAGGAGGAGGAGGAAGAAGAAGAAGAAGGAGAAGAAGAAAGAAGAAGGAGAAGAAGAAGAGGCAGGGAGTCACCCAGGGCACTTCTAAATAAACATTTAGTTTTCTTTTGCCTGGCAAACCCTTCGGGCCCCTCCACTCATCCTAGTCCTCAGCCCAGAGAACTCTGACCTTAGGATCTGTGCTTCCCTCTCCCAAACCCATATTCACCAGAGGTCCGTGGTGTGAGAATTCAGTACCCATCAACCACCATACCCACACTCAGACCATCCATCTTGCATTGCGAAAAATGGAATGAGGAATCCCAGATGGTCACAGCCAAGAGACCAGAGGTTCCCACACTCCTACTGTGCAACAGAATAGAAATTCAGGTTCCCAGGTACATTTTGAGATTCTACTTCAGCATTTCTTGAGTGGGAGCAGGAATGTGCATTTTTAACAACCATATGTGTGATCCTGATTAAGGACCACACTTTGAAAAGCAATGCAGTGCATTCTATGCACATTACACAGCTAGGTAAATAGATCCAGAAAGGGGAAAGAAGTTTCTAGGGTCCACACAGTGTATGATAGAGATTAGAATTCCAAAATCTTGCCCTCGAGCCCAGTACTTTCTGCCACATCCCATCTTCTTTGGAATGTTAGGAAGAGAAAGTGACAGTTCTTAGAGGGGTTGAGAGGGAGCAAGAACTTGCCAGGCTGTGTTCCTGCCCAGAAGAGGAAGTGCCCAGGACGCCTGGGTGGCTCAGTTGGTTGAGCGTCTGCCTTTGGCTCTGGTGGTGATCCCAGCATCCTGGGATCAAGCCCAGCATGGGGCTCCCTGCTCAGCGGGGAGTCTCCTTCTCCCTCCCCCTGCTCTTGTGCTCTTGCTTTCTCTCTCTCTCCCTCTCAAATAAATAAAATCTTAAAAAAGAAAAGAAGGGGAAATGCCCACATTAGTTTCTAGAGGGGTGGCATCAATACCCTGCTTGATTAGATGACACAGAGTTCAGGGGTGAAGGGAGGGAAAGGCCAAGGCACTGCAAGCTAAGAATTCTGGTCCCCTCTCTGCCTTCCTTTGGATCCCATTGCCCCTATCTGTCAACTGGGGAGGTGAAGCCTTCCCCCAACATCTGGGGCCTTAAGGTCTAACCTGGACCTTACTTAAAAACAGAACAACCCATGCCTGATTGTCTGGTGTTCTGTAGACCTCAAAGCTCATTTGAGCAGCTAACACCTGGGAAACAAGGTAGAACAGGGCTTTCCAACCCCTCTGTTGAGTTGGAGAAGCTGAAGCACAAGGAGGGACTATGTTTGGCTCAAGGCCACACAGCAAGACCCAGCTCCTCTGAAGGTCTAATCTTATCTCTGCTGCTGCCTGATACATTCCTTGTACACAGGCCAAAATGACAAATTTCAGGTTCTGGAACCCACCCTGCATTCCTTCCCCTGGATATCCTTCTCTGCTCAACTCCTGTCCTCGAAGCCCATGTTATTTTACCTATTTATTTTTTTAACTAGGCTCCATGACCAGTGGGGGCCTTGAACTCATGACCTTGAGATCAAGAGTCACATGCTCTACGACTGAGCCAGGCAGGTTTCCCCTCAAAAGCCCATCTTAAACACTGTCTCTTCAGGGAAAGCGCCTCTGGCCTCCCTCCTCTTGAGTTCCTGAGTCCTGACCCTATCGTAGTCTGATGGGAATTGCAGTCTTCCTACACTTTGTTTGGTGTTGGAATCTGTGAAGCTACTGGAAGACAGAGAACATGTCTGATTCACCTCTGTGGCTGCACCCTTCCCCTACATGGTGGCATAGCACAAGTCTTGCATATAGCAGGTGTCGTTAAACAGTGATTAAATGGATGGCCAGGATATGCACTCAACACACAGTTACAATCACACATGGGTAGAGACTCCCATATACATTCATTCCTTCATTCGGTAAATGTACTGCACATCTGTTTAAGGGTTACTAACCTAAGCAAGGAGCTCTATGTCCAGAAAAATGCACAATTGTTCAATATTTAATAGACAATTTCAAGAATTTTCAGACCCCCTGAAGCTTATCTATGGTCCCACTAGTAAGACCCCAAGTCCGCAAGTTAAGGGCCTCTGGCTCCTGATTAAGAAGTGTTCTGAACACCTGCTGTGTGCAAGCTAGGGACATACATTCAACCACTCATTAATTCAAATGTGTTGAGTGCCTACCGAACTAATGCTGGGGGCTAGGGGATTCATTTATTAATCCATCCATTTATTTAGTCAGTTTTTTGAGGGTCTACCACATACCAGACCCTCAGCGGGGCATTGAGGACAGAGAGATGATTAAGGAGCATCATGAGACCAGTGCCCTTGAGGCCTCATTGGCTAGTGGGGACAGACTAGGGTTCTGTTTCTCTCCTTAACTCCATCTCCACCTTATCCCAGCTCCCACTTCATCAGGATGCATGAAGGATGGAGGCTAAAGCTGGTGCAGGCAGGGAGGACTGAGCTAACCACAGGGGCCTTACCCTCTTCTCTCAGTCCTTCGGCTCCCTCTCCACCCATGACCTCCAGGCCTGCCTGTGTGTTTGACTAAAGGGCAGGGATTGCTGAACCTGCTGGGTGAGTCCAGTTGAATCAGAGGTGAATGGGGTGAGTGGGCAGGTGGGCAGGAGGGCAGACGGGCAGAGGGAGAGCCAGCGGCCCTGGGGCAATGGCTCTGACTGCATGTGTGTGGCGACTGACAGGGCTGCCAGGCACCCATGACCGACAAGTGAGGCTCAGCTTTGTAGGGGTGCTCTAAGGATTTTGGAACTGGGGGGGCTCCCATTTCTCCATTCCCTAGGCCCTCAGTCCAGTGCCTAGGCATCTCTCTAGCCTGTCTCCTTCCTCCCCCCGCCCAGTTCTCTGCCTCTTTCCCTGTCCATCTTCTACCTTTCTTTAAGGGTGAACCCTGGGGGACTGGACCCTGGGCTGGGCGTCTGTGGTGTGTGTGTGTGTGCGTGTGTGTGTGTGTGTGTGTGATTTTTTTGTGGGGAGGGACTGATAAATGACTATTTCAATTCTGAGCAGGCTTCACCCAAAAAACAAGGAGAATTCACTGTGGTCAAGAAGCAGATATTGGTGAGGTGAGTGGGGTTGGGTCCTGGATGTGGAGAAGCTGATCTGTGCCCCATCCAAGTCCCTCTTTATGAGTTGGGGGGCATGTTCCTGGGTTTTGGGAGCTGTACTCTCAGGAAGTGGGGTCAGTCTCAGGCTTGAGAAGCCAGACCCAGTCAGAATCAAGACTGGGGGGGATTAGTTCTTGACTGGTAGTTACCCTCAGATCAGCCCTAGTTTGGAGTCAACCCTGTGTTGGGGAAGGGGGAGTTGGTTCCAGGTTTGGGACATTAGTCATAGAATTAGCTCCAAGTTTGGAGGGTTGGATCCTGTTTCAGGGTTAGGATAGGCTCTGGACTGGCGTTCAGGGTCAGCCCAGTGTTGTGTATCACAAGATTCCTCCTATCCCCAGCTGTTCCATTGGCCACACTATGGGGCTCCGCTGGTTGGGGAGTGCCTGTCTGTGCAGGTGGTTAACTGCAGCCATGTGTTCAGCCCCAGGTGAGTAGGCCTGGGGGAGCCAAGGATGCAGGTAGGGCTGGATGTGGCGTGGGGCCATCCCCCTGGGTCATTCTTCTGCTCCCTGCCACACCTGCAGGTTCTCGGAACACTGGTGATCTCCCTGCAGCAGCTACAGAGTACTGGGCATTTGGTGCTACAGGAGGCCCTAGTGGATGAGAATCTGTGAGTGACCCCGGTGAGTCCCACCAGTCCTCAGCCTGCCATCCCCAAGCCTGAGAGTCCCTCTAGACAGAGAGTTCTTTTTTTCAGAGGGGAAAACAGAGATCCAGACAGGAGTGGTAACAAGGCCACCCAGCCAGGACTCCTTTCACTGTGGCCCCTACACGGGCTAGCCCCTACATGGGCTAAGGGCCAGGCTCAGCTCTGAGGACCAGGGGTGTGGCAATGGCGGAAGAGAAGTTCTGTTCTGCTCCCTGGCCTGGGACCAGACTAAGTTCTTTTGGGAGGGAAAGATGAACCTGGCTGGATTTTCCTGGTGTTTCATGGAGGGTCATATAACCTGGTAGGAATGGAACTGGGTTCCAATCTCAGATACACCATTTCCCAGCTGAGAACTTGGACAAGTTATTTAGCTTCACTAAGCTGTTTCCTCATTTACATTATGTAGAGTCATAGGAAATGTTGAACTTTTCAGTCTGTTGTTTGTTGAGCTCTGATTGTAAGCTGTGCCAGGCAACGAGGATTGAGTGGTGAGCACAGCCAGATAAGGATTTGCCCTCTTAGAATTCTATATCTAAAGAGAGAGGCAAACATTAAACAAATATTCACACGAATAAATG